CTTGCTTCGCTCGGCCTCAAGCGTCAACGGTCCCTGGGCCAGGCGTCCAAGGACAAGTCTACATGCCTTCGTCGACTTCGGTCTTCAGCAACGACCTCCTCCATAGGCGCATCTACCTCAGCATTGCTTTGCTCTTCGCAAACTCCTGCGTTGCCGGCATTCTGGAGTTACATCGTGCTACCCATACTTGCCCTGCAAACATTCCAAGTTCTCGCCGGTGAGACATTCGCATGTTGAGACTCAGCTTAGTTTGACGTGTTGCTTCTGGAGTTTTGTTTCCATGTTATAACACATTGTGTCCTCATATAATGCCTTTGTTGTGTGTCCTTTCTGTATGTGTCTTCATAAAGTAAAAAAAAAAAAAAGAGCCTCACCAGTTCCTTTAGAACATTGCTGTCTTTGATGCCACTTGTTTCTATATTTTTATTATTCTAAAGAACCCCATTACAATAGCACATGCCCTACGTGGGCCGAGGATGATTTCTGTTCTTGCAAAAGGGACATAACTGCGATATGAATCTGAAAGAGCAGGTTAGTCTTGGGGAGAAGCTTGGTTCGTCGGGAGACGCACTTTGATTGTGGATTGAAGAGCAGAAGGCACGCAAAAGGGCTATTCATGCTGAGGAAAGTGATGCGCTGCGTGAGCAGCACGAGCGCAAGGAGAAGGCCCGGCGAAAAGCAACATGAGAGCGAGCAACATGCGCGTGAGGCTGAGTTGACGTTAGCACAGAAAAAAGCATCTCTTGAGGAAAAAAATCTGCAGCTTCGCATACGTCCGTTGAAAGCTCAGAACACAGTCCAGGAGCGGGCGCCCCTCAATGTTGAAAGTGTCAGTGTTATACGCCGAGTTGGGCCTCAGCCGCCATAGTGTCCTGGTAATTTTCTACCACTCTTTGACGAGAAAAGAGATGACCTAGATGCATATTTTCACCAATTCGAGGTGATCGAGAAAGGTGAAAATTTGCCGAAAGACAAGTGGACTACTGCTCTCAGCTCATTTTTGGTGGGAGAAGTTTTGAAAGTGTTTGGTCGGCTGTCTCCAGAAGACTCGTTCGACTATGAAAAGGCAAAGACGGCCTTATAGTAGAAGTCTCTGTTTACTGCTGAAGGATACAAGAAGAAATTCTGTTGCAGCAGGCCGGAGCACCTCGAAACTGGCCTGCAATATGTCATTTGCCTGCAGGGTTATTTTGACCGGTGGGTCGAAATTTTGGACACAAAAAAACTATGAAGGTATGTGAGACCTCCTAGTCTAAGAGCAGTTTTTTAAAAACTGTCACAACAAACTCGCTGTATTTCTGAAGGAGAGGAACTGCAAAACCCTGAACTAGATGTCTGAGGCATGTGGCCATTTCATAGCAGCGCAACAACGAAATCTTGACCAGTTTCAAGAAGCATTTGGAACCTATTCAATAGCGGGCGAGAGTCGGCAGGGCAAGAAGTCGTCTAAGTCTTACCAGACATGTTTCCTGTGTGACTGCGTCGGGCAAGAGGCTTCTTCATGTCGAGCGAAAAACAAAGAGCCCTTCCGTATGGTTTTTCAGCAAGCTAGCTATCAAATGAGCAAAGACTGTAAGAAGAACAGTGGGGAGAGATGTCCTATGTACGCAGTGGTATCAGCGAAACGGGAATAAGTGGAAGACATGGAAGGGTTTCAGGCTGCATTGTAAAGGACGTCGTTGGTGTGTGTAAAGGAGACGAGAAAAAGAAACACTACGGAACTGCGAATGATAGGTTTACTCCGGTATCAGTCGGGAGGGTCTTCAGGAGATCAGTGAAAATATTGCGTGACCCAGGCAGCAACACAGCCATTGTACAGCAAAATTTAGTCCCTGATGTTGCTTTAACCGGAAGAAGAGGCCATGTCACCCTTGCAGACGGAACATTCCAAGAACTTCCCAAGGCATGGGTAGATCTCTCCTCACCGAATTTCACGGGACGCCTACAGGTCGATTGTATGCCCTGTCCTCTATTAAAGTGATTATAGGAAATGTACCACGGGCACGACCACTTAACAATCCTGACCCGGATTGCTCGCATAGGGGAGATCAGGAGGGACACGCTCCGAAAGAACCCGAACAATGTGCAACGCTAAGTACAGCGAGGCTTACAACAGCAAGATGCAGGAAATCGAATAGCTGGTATGGAGAAGGGACAAGGTACTCTGCCATCACAACAGAAGACCTTCGTACTGCTCAAAATGACAATCCATCACTAAGTTCGTGTTTTGAACAAGTTGATGTGGTTCGCTATAAGTGGGGCACCCATGAAGTGTTCCTTATAAACAACGATTTGCTTTTCAGAGACCGCAGGCTTTGCAATGCAAAGAAGCTTAGACAAGTTCTTCTGCCCCAGTGCTTGTGAGGATATGTCCTAGGGGTCACCCATGAGAGACCCTTGGCCAGTCAACAAGGATTTCAAGCGCACGAGGGCCCGCGTCCAGAATGTATTTTACTAGCCAGGGCTAGTATTTTACTAGCCAAGCAGACATGAAGCACTTTGTGAGGTCTTGTGACATCTGCCAGGTAACTGTGCACAAAGGAAAAACAGGCCTACATTAACAGTAGCAACCCTTAATGTGCGAGTTGGAAGTACGGGAAAAGCCACTTGTTGTGCCTATTGTTTGTAACGAGCTGCCCCTTATGAGGTCATCCTAAAATGATATGAATGTCCTTCTTCTGTCCTCATACGTTAGGCAGTGTTTTCAGTGCGCCCTTAGAAAGGCCTTCATAGGATGATACAGAAAGCATAATTTTCAGTATTTTTCGAGTATAACTCATTGTCCGAAAAATGTTCACGGTAGGACGTTTTGAGTGCATACTGTGTTATTCAGAAAAAGGCTGTGCATGAACTTCATGTGGAACCTCGTCGAAAGCGCGCAAACAATAACTGTATCTGAAAACCTCGCTAGCATAACTCTTAATCGTACGATTCTTTCTTTGTGTTCGTTTTTTCATACCTCACAGTTATAAGAGTAATTTGTGTAATTGTAAATCTTGCTTAAACTATGAAAATTTATGTATACAAAATTATGCAGTCATTAACACATATATGGATACTAGAAAGCTTAAGGAGCCCAATGCTGAAAGCTTATCGAAAATTGAATAAGTACTTCTCAAATTACAGCACCATAAAGTTCACTGTCTGCATGTAACCAAAAACAAAGACAATATTAATGAATATTTTAAAAAATTGGAGCTGTACAAAAAATCTGATCTCAGCATTGCTTTCTGTGCACACTTACCTATATTGTTCAAAAATAATTATAGCTCTAGTTATTCTAGGTCCGTTTTCACAGAAGAAGCAAACGAAGAAAATGGTCAAAATTTTGTGTTCTGAGAAAATAAGAAAAAAAGAGTTAAAACTTAATTCAGCCTTATGAAATGAGACATATCATGACACACATACTTTTAGTCTGTTAATATGTACTGGGAAATGTAATAGGACTGTGTGTTGTTTTTTTAAAGTCCTGCTGCAAGTTGTCGCCGCGTGCTGATCTGCCAACAAGGCCGCTTATCAGTTCGGTGATGCTGATGCTGATGTGCGACGAATGTGCGCGAGCCATCCCTGATTCGTGGTATGACAAAGCAGTGTTTTCCGGCTTGTCCAGAATGAATTGTAGATGTCGCAGATCGAATTCGCGCACTCGCTGATCAGTTTCGAGGCTGCAAGGGCGTAGAGGTGTTAGTTTTATTTCACGTAGAAATATTTCGATTTCAATTTCATTTTCGATTTCATGTAAAGAACTCTACCTGTTGCCAGTAGCCTCCACTGTGCAACCAGCAAGCATGTTCACCGTGATTGGATTGATTTTCTGTTGTCTATCAATGCACGGCAAACTCCACTCTGAAGACCCGTCACGTAGTTCACACACAAACGAGGTCGGTTTGACAGATGGGGGGAACCATGGCATTGGCGTATTTAACGATAAGACTGCGCTTCCATTTGGTTGCTGCTAAGATTGTTATCTCTCGTAGCTTTTCACTTCTGCTTTTTTATTTTCCGTCTTCTAACTGTTGAAGCTCCAAAACACGGTGCATGTATGGCACGCATGCGGTTTTATGTGGTACCACACGTTTCAGATCCTTCTCCTGCGTATCAAGCTTTAAATAACTTATTGGAAACAGTACCAAACTTTCAAAACGTGCATAGTCGCAGGATACCTAGCTGTGTCTCAAGAAGCTTTCTCGGTGGCTATGTATACTAGTGCACATGCTGTCAAGTGCAGTTCGCAACTGTGGCAGGAATGATTGCACGAAATCAGTTTCACCAAAAAGGTGAGGCAATGAGGGTGATAGCGACAAATCGCAATGCTATACGAAGTGAGGCTGGCAGTCAACTCATTCAGATACGATCTCGCAAAACTCTACAAAACATTGGTGTAAAAGAACACGACTGCTCCATGTACCCTCTTGGCACCGTTTTGTCTTGTTGACAGCGCAGCTCGTAGAAGCTCCCACCTTCTGTAGGGGCACAAGGGGTGCACTCGTCATTCGCGATAGTGCGGCAACCACAGGCCCCCTACCCCATCTTTGTTGACTCACGAGATAAGCATGGGCATACACAGACGACCCCGGTCAAAATGACAACGTTTGCTGTGCATGCAGAAAAAGGAAGATAGCGCATCCTTGCCCGTGTGTGTGTGTGTGTGTGTGTGTGTATACACACACACACACACACACACACACACGTGAATAACTGCAGTGGTGCCGACAACAAAAAACCAGCTGCGACTGTCCATATATTTGAACAATATGCAGCTGTTTGTTTAGTTTATTCAAAAGAGCTTAGTTTCAATTTAGTTTTCAACCAAACATGCAAAATTTTGTACATTAGGATGGAAAACAACCTCCAATTAAAAATCTTTATGCAGATGTCACACGGGATTTAATGGCACAAACATAAGTAAGCTTCACATGAGAGAGATGCACATCATTGATGCATAGCAAGTTTTGATAAGGTTAATTTTAGACATGCGACAGAAAGAAACTGAGCTGCACCTTTTCCGACAAAGTCTGCTGGCTGGCCTCAAGCTCCTGAATCCGCTCCTGGCTCATCTTGCATTCGGCCACCTTCTTGTTGAGTTCCACCTGTAAGCAGTCACTGTCACTGGGGTGAACTATGATGGGCTAAGCTCTTTACACGCTACGCACATGCACACTTTCTTCAGGCCCTCTTGTAAGTAAAAGTGACTGACAATTTCCGAAAAATGCATTTTAGATATACTAAATAGGGATGTCAGATGACTTGCCACGCATGCAAAATTGAGTCCTCTCGTGCTGCCACACAATTCACTAGCATCGCCATCTACTATTACTCTACAGCCGTCAAAAGTCAGCACCACACAAATGCTGTAAAGATGCTGAGAAGTTAGAAGATTCTGAATCCGAGATTTCCACAAGGGTGGTGTGCTGACTGATCCCTTCCCCTTTGTTTGCACCAAAGGAAAAAACACTGTGACAAAAACAGAAGGGGCGGGGGTTCGTAAACATTGGCGGTGTGGTCTTATAATGGCTTGAAGTGGCCGATTAACTACAATAGAAGGTACGACTCTCTAATGGGGTGCCCAAATATTTGTATTATCCAAAATTTCACACCATCAGAATATCCAGCAAAATCTATTTCTGTGAAAAGAACTCGCGTATGTCTTCCTGGAAAACACGTGAATGAACAGGACGGCGCAGCTGGCTACCGGAAAAGCACAGGTCAAAGCTTCGCTTGAGGCTTGAGGCCAACTTGAGGGAGTATGCACTGAAACTCAGCTGCAAACATAATGAGCTCAAATAACTGGAATAGTCAGTTAGCTCAAATATACTCTTTCTTAAAAACATAAAATACTAGCTTACAATTATCTTTTCTATTAACATCTTAATTAACTGTCAACTTGTCTGGGGTACGACTTCATTCTCTAATCTGCAAAAAGTTTGCGTTATGCAGAAAGAATATCTATGGAATGTTTACAATGCTGGATATAATGCGAGAAGCATAGGCTTCTTTCATGAAACTGGTATTATAACAGGTCACAAGTTATACTATCATCAGCTTAGTTTGATATATAAATATGGAGTAAGACATAACATACATATTTTAGACACCCTAGCACATTTCGAAACGAATGACCACTGCTATAAAGTAGTTAGAGCGAGTTTGAAAAGTTGATTGATTGATTGATACATGGGGTTTAACGGCTCAAGACCACTATATGATTATGAAAGACACCGTACTGGAGGGCTCCGGAAATTTCAGCTACCTGGGATTAGTTAACGTGAACTAAAATCTGAGCACACGAGCCTACAGCATTTTCGCCTGCATCGAAAATGCAGCTGCTGATGCCAGGATTCGATCCCGCGACCTGCGGGTCAGCGGCCGATTGAGTACCTTAGCCTCTAAACCACCAAGACGCAGCGTTTCAGAAAGTTATCACTACTGGTCTGAATACTGGCATAGAGGATTTGCATACTTGCCAACCTGGCAACAGAGAAATTCGTAGAATCCTTGTGCAGCAAAAGAGGGGAGAGGGGTTACCGGAAGTTTTTTTTTTTTTTTTTTTTTTTGTAGCTGTGATGGATTTGCCTTTAGCTACAAGCATACTCATGTTTTGCTGCCATGAGTCAAATCAACCTGCTGAAATGTTTTCCCCCTTTGTTGGCATCAAAAAAAAACAAAAACATCACAAAAAAAGAGGGGGTGAGTCCCAAATGCAAGTGCAAACATGGACGTTGTGGTCAGATAATGGCTTGTAGTGGCTGAACAGACAATGATATGGTTTTTCAGTAAGGTGAGAGCCTCAAACGAAGAGGACAAATGCTCCCGAAATATCACATCATCAAAACAACAAGCAAAAATTTTGTTTCCATCAAAACATTTCGCGTATGTCTTCACATTTGAACGGATGGGATGGTGCAGCTGGCTGCGATGAAAGCGAGGGTCAAAGCTTTGGCTTTGCTCGCTACTAGATTCTTCGAACAGAAGCGCCAAAACACTTCTGCCGCTGCGTCATCCACGTGCCCTTAAAGTTCGTAGACCGCTATCACCGCAACCGCGGTTTTGTGCGTGGCGGTTATGGCATGGTAATTTCATTTTCAATCCACGTGTCTTCAAAACTAAGTCGTTTTATGCTATTTATGATCGCAACTGCTGCAGTTTATGCCATAAAGTTTGCGGAAAGCAGTGTTGATTTGACTAGTTGAGCGTTGGCCGCGCGCACACTTTCGGAGTTCTGTCAGTACGTGGTCGCCATACATGATTGTGTCGAACGACAGCAGTTTTGTCCACAGCAGTTCTGGCAACGACAACCACACACACTGCAAAAAACAGTGCGTGCGCTCGTCACATGCGTACTTCCAAAGCTTCGAGCATGCTGCTCTCGATCGGCCTTCGTTCAACAGTATCAATACTAAAGTTCATATCACATATAGTGAACTAGAATAGAATATACTACAGTTAAAACCTGAATATAACGAAATTAATAAATTTACAGAAAAATTTGTTATATGGAAGTTCTTTTTATATGCAGGTTTGGTACGAAAATTCGGAAAATAAACGGGCAAATTAAACAAAAGGGAACTGAAGGCAGAGCTTACCCCGAACACTCAATTTAGAGTAAAAAACTATGTTATTATTGCAATTATATGGACACTCTTGGCGGGTTATTTCTGTTGCTGCCATGTTCCACAACTAGTCCATATTGAGGATAACGAAGACTACTTTTTGGAAACTTTGACAGTCAGCACAATAGCAGCAGACCACTGGAGTGCGGCCGTTAACATTGAAGGAAAGGCATTCACATGCAAATTAGACACGGCCGCGAACTGTTGTGTGATTTCGCAAAATGACGCTAGGGAACTACCAGATAAGCCACAGCAAGCTTGCGATGCGACATTGACGGCGTTCTTTAGCCACAAGACCTCGACAAAAGCGAAACTCCGTCTGTGTTTGTCGACCAATTCACGGACACAGGAAGAATCCTTTTTTGTTGTGGAACAGAACGTACCCATCACCTTAAGTGGATCAGTAGCAGAACGCCTCGGCTTTTTACGTCGTATACAAAACGTTCATGGCGACGAGCTTTACTCGTCTGCACAGCCTTACGCAGATGTCTTCTCAGGACTGGGGCAGCTAAATGATGTGGAATACACTATGAAGCTCAAACCCAGTGCAGTGGGTGTCGTCGTTCCGGCACGGAGAGTCCCGGTAGCCCTTCAAGACAAGGTAAAAGAGGAACTACAGCGCATGGAAGACCAAGAAGTCATACAACAGGTAACTGAGCCAACTGAGTCATCTAGCTACATGGTTACCGTTGTAAAGAAAGACAAGGTCTGCATCTGTTTGGATCCAACTGCGCTAAATAAAGTCCTACTGCGTGAACATTACCCCATGCCAACTCTAGAAGACGTAGCCCCGAGGCTCGCTAGAGCTAGAATTTTTTCAAGGCTTGACGCGGCTGCAAGTTTCTGGCAAATCAAGCTCTCAGACTCGAGCTTGAAGCTTTGCACGATGAGCACACCATATGGCTGCTATCGCTTTTTACGCATGCCTTTCGGTATCGCTTCTGCCCCAGAGATATTGCAGGCCGCGATGCACTGTATGCTAGAAGGACTGCCCTGTGTCGCAGTTGTCATGGATGATATCCTGCTGTGGGGAAAGACTAAAGAAGAGCATGGCCACAACCTAGAACAGCTATTGTCCCTCTGTCGTGAATACAACCTATGGCTAAATTTAAAAAAAAATGCTCCTTTTTGCAGGCAGAGGTTCGCTACCTGGGCCACATCTTTACCACCGAAGGTCTGAAGCTTGACCCACAACGTGTTCAAGGCATACTGGAAATGGCCCCACCCAAGAACAGTAAGGAAATAAAGATTTTTCTTGGCACAATAAATTTCGTGCAGCGCTTCATACCCAACATGTCTGTCACAACTTCCGCGCTCCGAACATTGCTTCGCAAAGATATCGCCTGGGTCTGGACCGAAAAACAAGAAGAAAGCTTTCACATGTTGCATCAGTCTCTGCTAACAGCGCCAATCTTGAGCTATTTTGACCCCAAGAAACAAGTGACACTTTCAGTTGATACAAGTCAATTGGGAGTAGGCGCCGTTCTTATGCAAGATGGCCACCCCATTGCATTTTCTTCTAGATTGCTCACAGACACCCAGGTTAAATATGCACAAATAGAGAAAGAAACCCTTGCAATCGTGCACATTTGTAGAAAGTTTCACAACTATTTGTTGGGTCAGCACAGCGTAGTTGTTGAAACTGATCACCGACCTTTAGTTTTCATATTTTCCAAACCTCTGCATCAGTGTCCGCTACGGTTGCAGCGCATGCGTCTGACATTGCAACGATACTCTATAAATGTGACGTACAAACCTGGCAAGGAGCTGTTCCTTGCTAATGCCTTATCAAGATTTCCTAGCAAAGAACGCATGGAAGAAGAAACAGAGCGCTTTCAAGTAAAAGTTCTTGACTGTGTTTCAGGTTCCGAGCAGCGTCTGAACGACCTCCTTGCCGCAACAAATGACGACTGCACCTCGACAAAGCTTTGTGAATATGCCCAGACTGCGTGACCCCTTACGAAGCAAAAAGTTCCTGATCAAGTCCGTGCGTGCTGGTCATACCAGAAGGAGATACATGCGCAGGAGGGCTTGGTATTCCGCAGCAATAAGGTAATCATACCTCTGTCTAAGAGAGTGGAGATGATGAACCTTCACACGGCGCATGCGCGAGCACAGAAAATGAAAGCCAGAGCAGGAACGGTCATGTTCTGGCCCAGTGTATCGGGTGATGTTGAACAGTTTTGCAAAGCGTGCAAGGCGTGCAGAAATATCAGCCGAGGAACGTAAAGATGCCACTTTTGTGCCACGAAGTCCCCACTCTGCCATGGCAAATTGTGGGAATCGATTTTTCTACTGTGGTGCATGCCAGTTTGTCCTGATTGTCGATTTCAACTCTTTCTTTTTTGAGATGCGAAAAATGCGCACAACTGCGCGCATGCTCACATCGTGGTGCTCCGAAGTTTTCTCGGTGCATGGATTACCAGTCAAACTGCGCACAGATAATGGTCCACCGTTCTGCAGCGGAGAATTCAAGGATT